CATATATACTTTATGCATGTATCATAGTAATTATCATGTATGCATGTTCATAACTATTGTACTATGAAAATCAACATAGGAATTAGACTTATCATAAGTCTTATTCCAGTGTATCATACTTATATTATGCACTCACCTATATCCCTTTATCTTTTCCTCGATCGATCTTACTTGTCACTTGTTCCGGAGCTTGTTTAGGCTCAATATCTACATAAATATTATTTTCAAGACAATTATAAGAAGCTTAAACCTTATAATTCAATACTAATAACTTAAGCTAATTTAATGAACCCAAAAATTCAGTTTTCCTTTAGGGGTGTACCGATGCACTATGGATGCATCGATACACAAATTAGGTTCGAAATTCCCATGCATCGATGCACCTTCAAAATTTATCTTAGTGCATCGATACACACTCATAGTGCATCGATACACCAGCCAGAATAGACTATTTCATCCAAAAATTCCATAATTTTTCATTAAATTTCCTCATATAAAAACTCCTTTTATACCACTAAACTCAACTACAACCATTTTAACTAACTTTTATCATTCCAATACCTTATTATCTCCCATATCTCATCCAAATTCTTAAAGCTAAGAATCATACCCAATTTTTCCATGTTATCCAAACTTAATTCTAACACTTATAACTTCTTATTCTCATAGATGACAAGTCAAATCCAACTTTCAATTCTTATTATAAGCTATATTTCAAGATTTCACGCAAGAACTCCAAATCTTTAATCTTTCCTAACTCCTTTATCTTTTGATTTTAAGATAACTTAAGCTTTCCTTAAGCTTAGTTATCATCTAATGATCAAAACCCAATCTTAAAATTAACAAATAATTAACTAAACCGAAAACTTACCTTTAATGGAGACCTACGGGGAGAAGAAGAAGGAGATGAAGGCAAGAAGATAAGCTCCAGATGTTCCTTTAACCCCCCATGCTTATCTCTTAAATAAGAGATAAATATCTTTTTTTCATGAAAAGACCACCTTAGCCTACAAACTTTTATTCCTCATAATTTAATCCAATACAAGAATTTATCACTTTAAAATTCTAAACTTTTAAAAAATTTTACTTTAATCACTAACTTTTGAACTTTTTATAATTTGGTCACTAACCCATAGTTTGGGATGTTACAGCTAGTCTATGTTTTGGGTATTCTTTGTTTCATGAAGATGAAGTTAAAGATGGGTTTAGATCGACGTTGAGGTTTGAAAATTTAGGATTTAGTTTAAGGATTTTGATTTTAAATTTTATTTTACATTAATAATAATAAATTTGTCATGTCATACTAAAAATAATAATAATAAATCCACTTTATCAAAGAGAGATAAAAATTCAAGTAATTTGAAAGTGTAATGATTAAATTGATTTTTTTTAAATTTTATTGACCAAAATATAAGTGAGAAGATAGTTGAGTGATGAATCATGTAATTTACCTAAATAAAAAATACCACGTCAACTGTGCCGTTAACTTTTTAACAGCGAGGTACTAAAATAAAATAAAATAAATAAATTTTATGTATGATTTTGAAAAAAAATGAAAGTCAAGGTACTAAATCGAAATAAAAGTGATAGTTTACCCTAAAAATTATAATTTAATTATAACTATAGTAAAATTATATTTAATTTTTAATAAATGATAAATTTTAAATAAATTCTTATACTTTTTAATATTTACATAATAAGAACAAATTTGTTTATGGTGTATTTCAGTACATCGTTTTAATGGTACATTACAGTATGTAATGTGCGCTATAGAATTTAACATATAAAAACATAATATTTTCATGGTAGATACGTCTCTCACTAGAAATTTTCTGTATAGATAAAGACTCGAACTTGAGATATTTTTAAGTAATATTAAGTTGTTGTTTTTTATTTTGATTAAGTTAAATGTGATTACAAAGTAGTATATGTTCAAAGTACTCTCAACCATTTGATAATTAATGTTTAATAATCCTTGCAGTCGTTGATACTCGAACTCATGATCTCTAGTAACAATAACAATTCATTTAACCACTGAAGTGAGTTGGATCGTGTTCATTCATTCATCATATTTTAAATCTAAAAGGATATGTTGATTTTCAAAAAAAAATTAACATTTGGTTTTTCTAAGAGGAAAAAAATAGAATAATAATGTCATGAACAAAGGTGTTGAGTGTATTAATACTAGCTGGACAAAAGATAAGTGTATTAACAGGAATCAAGAAGCATTTTGAACTTTAAAAATAGATAAAATAACCTTAGTGATCAAAAATGTCTTATAATATACGATTTTAACCAAATTTTTTTGGATTTACCAAAATGACCAACTAAATCGCAATGCGATCGATAATTCGCAACGCGAACTTCGACTATCGCAACGCGAACTTGGACATTCGCAATGCGATTTACATATTCGCATTGCGATAGTCCAAGTTCGCGTTGCGATAGTCCAAGTTCGCGTTGCGATTTTCTAAATTCGTTGCGATAGTCGAAGTTCGCGTTGCGATTTTCCAAATTCGTTGCGATAGTCGAAGTTCGCGTTGCGATTTATTCCAAATTCGTTGCGATAGTCGAAGTTCGCGTTGCGATAGTCGAAGTTCGCGTTGCGATTTTCCAAATTCATTAAAATCGCAACGCGAACTTCGACTATCGCAACGCGAACTTGGACTATCGCAATGCGAATATGTAAATCGCAATGCGATAGTCGAAGTTTGCGTTGCGAATCTGGAAACTGATTTGCGATACCGGAGATCGCGTTGTGAATTATCGATCGCATTGCGATTTAGTTGGTCATTTTGGTAAATCCAAAAAACGTTTGTTAAAATCGTATATTATAAGACATTTTTAGTTATTGAGGTTATTTTCTCTTAAAAATATATATATTCTAATGTCATTTTTCAATACGAATTATAAATTATAAATTTAATTTTTATTTTAATTAAAATTTAATTTTTAATCTTTATTTATTACATTATAAAGTGATTATTTTATGATTTTTATATTAATTATTAATAAATTATTTATGAGTGTAAACATTTTATATTTTATCATATTAATCATTTATAGATAAAATTGTTATATTAAATTCTATATGTTTTAATTGAAAATTATCTGAAAGATGTTTCATCATTACACATCTATTTTTGTATAAATATAATTTTATAATAATATAAATTAATATATTTTATTTATTATAATATTAAAATTTTAATTATATAAATTTTAATTTATAAAATTGTCTAAAATAATAATTTATATTTTTAAAAGCACATTTTAATAGTAATGTTAAATGGGATAGGACCCAATTACATAGTGTTAATTTTTTTTATACAGATTTAGAATCGTTGGATGAGTGAAAATAAACGTCTAAGATTAACAGTAAGAAATGTGAATATTCACTGAAAAAATAATTAGTTAATATTAGTCGTCTAACTTTATATAAAACTGAAAAAATTTACATTGTGTATTAGTCCATGTTAAATACTTCAATCTTAACTAAGCTTTTCAAAAATATTCTTCATACAATTTTTCACAATATCTTTCAAAAACCAACTTCTTATGGTACTTAATTGGTTACATTTTATCTAAGATAATATTTTTTAATAGTTAAAAGATGAGTATAAGGTAATATATATTTAATTTTTTTAATCTTTGATTACACGTATATAATTTACAGACGTGGTTGTTTGAATTTAAAATTTTTAAAAAATTCATTTATTTTATCACTGAGGTCATTCAATTAATATTTAAACTAAATTTTAGGCACATTTAAATTTATTTCTTCTATCGTTATTTTTTTGAGGGTTTGAATTCAAAAACTGCTTATACAAAGGTGTAAGCATTCAATACCAAATGATCGATAATTTTAACTTTTATTCTAGCATATGTATAAAATTTACATCACTAATTAATTAAGATAAAATCAGAGAAATCGAGAGAGCAACCAAAGGTAACTTTTATTATTATTATTATTATTCACCGGATGGGCCAAAATCTTCAAATATTTTCATCCTCAATTTGGATCACACAGAGTGACGTGGACCATTCCCAATCCTTAGGAGATTCCATTTCCAACTGTAGGGACGAATTTTGTGTGGACTAAGTCGACAATACATTGAACTGTCCACTCATAATACCTAAAATTTCAGGGTTGAATATATTTAGGGCGTATTTTTGTTGATTATAAATGATTTTTTTTTATTATAATGCGTATTTTTGTTGAGATTTTTTATTATTAAAAGTTATAAATGATATTTTAATTATAAGATGTTATTTTGTTGAGTTTCTTTATTATTAAAAGTTATAAAATGACAATCTGATTATTTATATGTTTCAAACTCGTCATTTTCGGTTAAAGAATTGACAATCGTGTAAGTTGGACGTTAACTTGCTGACTCGACTCGACTCAAAAAAAATTAAAGTTACCTTCGAGTTATAAAATAAAACTCCTCAACTTAAATAATTCAAAAATTCTTTGACTCGACTTGACTCAATTGAACACTCACACCTAAATAAAGTAGTACCTTATAGTCAAATGACCATTTCTATACTTTACCCAAAATTATATTCTTAATAAAATTTTGGCTTAATAAAAAATAGAGTATCTAAACTATACCATTTTTTCAATTAGGTGCTTAATTTTTTATCCGATCAATGTAGCTGTATAAAATTATAAACGTTATCATTTTAAATGCATTTTGTTATTATTTGTATTTTAAAATCATCATAGAAGTAGAGCTGACTGTCAAAATAAATTCTACAGCAGTTTTGGTTGTGTTGCAGCAGCATTTTGGAGTAATTTGTGATACTTGTGTTCCTAAGGTAAGTTCACAATATTAAGGATATAAAAGTATTCTCAACAGCAATAACAACACAGACAAATGAATAAAAAAAACACACACACACACACAAACAAATGATATGCGTTCAACGCTTGAATACAGCATGAATAACTAACAAGAAGAAGAAGAACAAAAACATCACTGCACTGCACCGATTTGGATTAACTTGCATTCAACTTCTTTTCTTCGATGTAGTCTTGCATCTCGTTGAGCCAAAGATCTGCAAACTCGCAATTCTTCCATGCATCAAACCATGGCCCTCCACGAGTATAATGTATAGCTTTAGGGAACGTTGTGGGCTCACTCTCGACCATCTTGTTATGCCCTTCCAGGAAATTCCAGACAAACGGGATGGACCCAATTTCATCATCTTCCACCCACTGGAACCTATGAAGAAAAGCACCGGTTTGATTGTTAACAACCTCCGGTGTCAGGCCCTTGTTCTTGGGATGGCCGCAGTTGTACAACACCATGGATGACCAATTCTTCCGAGGGTACATAGTCTGCACCGCACCGTCCATTTTCACCGTCTCTTTTGGGGAATAATCGTGATGAACGCACATGATGGCGTATTTATCATCAATCAACTCTGTTAACTCCTTTATGTCAGCTAAATAAAGGAAATCGCAATCGATGAACAGTGCCCAACCGTCGTAATTGGACAAGTAGGGGGTGAGGAAGCGCGAGAAGGAGAACTCGGTGCTCTCGAGATTGTTGCGTTCACGCCAGTAAAGGCCTTTCTCTCGTAGATCTGACTGAACCATAGGGGTGATCTCGAGGGGAATCGAAGAGCGTTTCAAGATTGAATGTCGGCACACCTCATAGGCAATGTCTTCACGCGTATCATAACCCACGAAAATTTTGAAGGGTTTGCGTAAATCGCCATTGTTAGTAGCTTGGTGAGCATTGCCATTAACCAAAGTCATTGTTAACACCAGCTGGTTTTCTAATATAAAGAAGATCTGCACACTTTTTAAAATTAGTAAAAGTAAGAAAACAATTAATACGTCGCTTCTAATCAATTCAACAAACAAACAAATACTTCATAAAGAAAACTCAAATCAAAACTTGGCAGAATTATCCATAATATCAAGAAAATGTGACACAATTAACGGGAAAATAACACGAGATCAGCTACAATATCCCATTAAAACCCAGAAAAACAAAGAGAACCCAGGAAACAAAACAAAAAGGAGGAAAACCATTACCTGAAAAAAATGAAGAAAACACAGGATCTCTAAATTCTTGAGAGTGAAGAAAGAGAAAGAAAAGATTACAGAGAAAAAGAATGCAATGAGTGATTCACTCTTGGAGACTACTTATAGATAGGGTGAGCGATAGATGAAGTAAAATCTAAAAAATTTCAGTCATTTGAGTTGTTAAATAATTCAAATAACTCAGACTTAAATTATATATATATATATATATATATATGTATCACACTGAATTGAGAGACTTGATAAAATTAAAAAATCAATCCATAAATTATTAAAAAATTTAATTTATTATTTGAGTTATTTAAGTTTTATTTTATAATTTGACTTGAATTTAATTTTTTAATCGAGTCAAATTTATAAAATTACGAATAAAATTAATTTGACTAAAATATTTTCGAATCAAATAAAATTAAAAAAACGATTTTCGAATGGAGTAAAATTTTATGATCTAAGTGGGAAGTGGGATAAAATAAAAGAAAAATGATCTCCAATTACTAGATTCCATGGAGATTTTTGTGTAGAGGGATGTAGGAGCGAGGACTTAGCGGTGAAAAGAAACCAATTAACGAGAGTGATTCGTTCTTTATGTGGACGGGCAGTGACATGATCCCACTGTACAACCGTGGAATCGCTTTCCTACGTGTTTTTTCTCAGTTGGTTATTTAATAATTTCACTGTATATTACACTAGTAGTCACCACCATATAACTTTTTTATTTTGGTCACTAAATTAAATTTTATTTTTTCCTTATGAAAAAAGATATCCTTTCCAAATTAATTTTCTTACATAAATTAATCTAATAATTGATAAATAACTTATGAATAAATTTAAATTTTTTTGGATCTTGTTAGATTGTGAAGAATAAAATAGACTACAGTTCTTTTTCAACTTGTTCTTCTTCCTCCTCACGTTGAAAGGGGGAGAAGAAATGAGAAGTTTCTCATTTCTTCTTTAATTTTAACTTTATTATTATTATTATTATTATTATTATTATTATTATTATTATTATCTATACCATTTAGATTACATGCCAATGAACATGTGATGGAGATTTCATTTAGACTACATTTCTATTTATTTTTATTAAAGTTTTAATATTTTTAAACTATTCAATTTAGTTCTTATTTAGAAATTGAGGCATTTCAAGTGTGTATAATTGTTTTGCATCAACTAAGTAATTACGATAAAGGATATAACTACTTTTCATATTAATTTTTATCGTATAATTTTCTTGATTGAATTTGTACAATATTGTAAAATTTTAAAGTTAATTAAATCATTGATTCGAGATAATTTTAATAAAAATTTAAAGTTCAAACATAAAATCTTCAACTGGCTTACAATAATTTTATATAAATATGATTTATCATCGATCAAAGAATCAAAATTTAATTTAATCGATTCAATCGATTGATCTAACTTAATTCCAAAATTAAATCATGAAAATTCTTAGGTGAATATAAACATTTTTTTACATATATATGATTTTTATAAAGAAGTTATATAATGATCAAATAGATTTGAGAGAAACAATTAAAAATTATAAATGTATTTTTTAATAGTTTGAAGTGATTATAAAGGTTATATTTGTTTAAAGTTTTTCTTAACTATAGATAACGTACGCACACTCTGTAGATGCACTTGCTCAAGTCCAAGATTTAACTACTAAACCGCTCGATGAGTTCAATATTATTTTAAAAAAAATAAAAATGTAATAAATATTTTATATTTATATTTATATTTGGTTTGGGCCCAATATGGAATCTTGTTGATAGCGGAAGTGTGGCTGTACTTCGGCTTTACTTAGCTGGTGGAGACTTGTGGCCATTTTGAATTGATCTAATTTTTGGTCCATACAAGCATGAGGGATCGAATATGTAGTTTTCATAAAACTGGCGCGTGCACTATTTCTATGCCCATTCACTCCACACGCACCGACACCATGAATTCACGCCCTTTCAAGCATAGAATTAGAAGTAAATTTAAGTCTTATTTTCAAAATTTACTCGACAATCTTCAATTTCACAACTTTACTCACTTTTTACTTTTTAACAAATCTAGTCCCTCCACTCTATCACTTTGCATACTTATATTAATATATTTATGCCAGTATAAGTATATATTAAGTGTTACAATTTTTTTCATTTGCTTACATTAGTGTAAGTATATGATAAATATTATATTTTTTTGTAGTATGAATTATGAAACTTTAAAGTTTTCATGTTGTGTTATTATTGAAAAATAATTATAATAGGTTAACATGTAATTAAACCATTAATAACTGTTAAATTACGATTAAAAAATATTGTAATTATTATAGCAACAATAACAATAAAACCCAATTCCCATATGTATGGGGTAAGGGGGAGGTAGGGTAGTAGGCTGCCCCCAACGCCAGGTTGGGAGTAGCTTCCGTGAAAGACCTCCGACAGTCAGAAAATTAAAAGTATAGATAAAATGCAATGCATGTATAAATAAATACATAGCTAAACAGTATTCATATGCAGTCATTAAAATCATATGTGCGTTTGTAATGGGAATTAATCCCTGTAAAATAATCCCTGCGAAAGAATCTCTGCATATAGACAGAAACATAAGACCCAGCTAAATTTAAAAGAGGAAACATGAAGAGAATGATAAACAAACGTCAACGATATCAAGCCCAGTTCCAATCCTTCATAAATACCAATAACAGAAACGTATAAAAAGTAGAAGTCATGGAAATTACTACAAAGGCATTAAAAGAAGACAGAGATGATACACCCTATAGATGTGACCCACACTACTCGACTACCCTAGTTTTTAGCCTCCATATTTTCCTATGAGAGGTCATGTCTTCGGTAAGGGCTAACTCCATCAAATCAGATCTCAAGCAGTCTTCCCACTTCCTCCTTGGTCGTCCTTTCCTTCTGGCACCGTCGACTGTAATCGACTCTACCCTTCTGACCGCATCCGACGGTAGTCGCCTAAGGACATGCCCAAACCACCGTAGTCTTCCCTCCCTCAATTTTTGGAAACAGACACCCCCCAAGGACATCCTAATAGCAGAGTTTGTCGTCATATCCCACAGAGTCCTACCACATGTCCATCGAAGCATTCTCATTTCTGCGGCCTCTATCCTCCTTACGTGATCCTTCTTGGTTGCCCAACATTCTGATCCATACAACAGCGCTGGTCTTATTGCCATTCTATAAAATTTTCCCTTAAGTTTTAGAGGCACCTTCTTGTCACACAAAACTCCAGTAGCGGCCCTCCACTTTAGCCATCCCGCCTTTATACGGTGTGTAACGTCGTCATCTACACTCCCATCTTTATGTATCATAGACCCTAGGTACTTGAAACAATCCTTTGATGGGAGAACGTGTCCTTCTATGCATACTTCTACATCTTCATCGTTTTGGTTCCCATTGAAGTTTGAACATAAATACTCTGTCTTTTCAATATTGATCCTTAAACCTTTTTCTTCCAAAGCAGTCTTCCAGGTAGCCAGTCTACTATTCAACTCAGATTTTGTTTCAGCAACTAGGACAATGTCGTCAGCGAAAAGCATACACCATGGTACACCGTCTGGTGTCGCACAAAAGATGTCATCCATAATCAAGGTGAATATGTAAGGGCTAAGAGCCGACCCCTGGTGGAGTCCGATTTCCACCGGGAATGCCTCGGTGTCGCCAACTGTAGTCCTGACGTAAGAAGTAGATCTACAGTACATATCACGAATTGCCCGGATATAAGCAGTTGGGATCCGTCTCGTTTCCAAAGTCTTCCAGATCGTATCGCGGGGAACGCTATCATAAGCCTTCTCAAGGTCAATGAACACCATGTGAAGATCTCTAGACTTTTCCCTATATTTCTCCATAAGTCGTCGAAGTAGATGAATCGCCTCCATGGTAGACCTGCCTGGCATAAAGCCAAATTGGTTTTCCGAAACCCTAGTGACTTGTCTTAACCTAGCCTCTATCACCCTTTCCCATAGCTTCATGGTATGGCTGAGTAGTTTAATACCTCTGTAGTTACCACAACGTTGGGGATCTCCTTTATTTTTATAAATTGGTATCACCGTAGACTCTCTCCACTCCTCTGGCATCTTGGCAGTCTCTAAAATAATATTAAAGATGTTGGTCAACCACTTAACTCCCTCTTCTCCTAGGGCCAACCACACAGTGATAGGAATTTGATCAGGACCGACAGCTTTGTCCCTTCCCATCTTTCTAAGAGCCATTTTGACTTCCTCAAACCCAATCCTACTTGTAGGGCAGTCATTGGTCGTAGTATGATAGTCGGCTGACCCATCAACGATACTATCTCTACATGGAGAGGCACCGTCATTAAATAAGCCAAAGAAGTAACTACCCCAAACCCTCTTAATATCGTGATCTTTCGCTAAAAGAACACCATTGTTTGTCCTTAATAAACCTAATGTTACCTAGATCCTTTTTCCTATTCTCCCTAGATTTTGCAAGTCTGAAGATGCCATTTTGTCCTTCCTTGGTGTCTAATCTCTTGTACATTTCCTCGTATGCCTTATCCTTTGCTTTAGCTACCGTTTTCTTGGCTTCCCGCTTTGCCTCCTGATATCTTTGTTTAGCTCTCGACCTTTCTTCGTCGTCATTGCATTGTAGAAACTCCTTGAAGCAAGTTTGTTTTGTCTTCACCTTAGTTTGGACTTCGTCGTTCCACCACCACGATTCTTTATGTTCCTTGGCCTTCCCCGTCGACAACCCAAGGGTGTTTTTGCCCACCTCTCTGATGGAATTTGCCATATTTTTCC